ACTATTTTGTAGTAGTTTTTCTCTACCTACTATTTCTTCTTCTACATGGAATGGAGCTAAGTTACAACGAAGTCAATACTGTGGTAATTGGGTAGTAGGTTATTAAGGGCCCATTACAGCAGAAACTATAGATGGAAATCCCTCCAAGGTAGCTGGTAAGCTTTGGAAACCGAATATCACAGCTTCTGAGCGCTGCTGGAGGCTCCACTGGACTGCTAAGCCCTCGGTATACGGTAACGAATACCTGGACCTACTGAACGGCCACCATAGTGATCCTACTTGTTGTAACTAAGATGAGGTGTGATACTTACTGTATTTTCGCCGATAGAGATCACTGAAGGGATGACGAGGACACCGAAGAGGATGAGGGTGTTCCCGAGCATGACTGCGTGGATGACTGCCCGTCTGTGTGACCTTCGCGCCTATTGCGGTTGAGGCGGCCGGTGGCGGCGGGTGACGGCTAGACCATTGAAAACCCTGATTCGGCCATTATCAAGTACACATAACAACCGGTCTCGTAGGTCAAGGTATCTCATCCGATAGTTTTTAATTTACTGCGGCCGAATTCAGCGTCCTCATTACCTGTACCCGAATACGAGTAAGTGATTAACGAGGTCGATCTAGTCGTCTCTTTCGAATGTATTCTCATACGTGCAATAACAACGTTCTTTGAATTAGACTTTATTATTATTATTCAATTGTAACAATCATTCATTAGCATTTTAATGTACAGCGTAGTCAACAGTGGAATGTTTGGAGGTCTTCACTGAGTAATGGCGAGATGTGACTGGTAATGGTTACTTTCCGAACACTTCGAATGTACTGTCAGCGTACTGACAGCTCGAATAGCCGGACGGTTGCAAGAGATTGAAGGCACGGATGAAACCGTTGATGAAGCCTTGATCTTCTAACCAGCGCAGTACCTGAAAAAACCAGACTAAAGCTTGGTAAAATTCCATATAATTTTATACACAATTTACTTGACCTTGGCAGTTTTCTGACGATTACTCGACTAGCTCAAAAAGTAATTATTTCATCAAAGACCTTCATATTCTGCAGAACCGCCTATTGGCCGTCATGCTCGCCCATGTCCCTAATCACTTAGATTTCCGCCAAGGTCAGTTGAAATCGGACCACACACATAGTTATTCCCCTTCCAAAACAACGGCTCATTTTGAAGTACCAATAACAAAACTACTGCCAAAAACAAACCTCAGTCTGATACTTCGCTTTGAATGTGTCAGGATCTCGTACCAATACTGTTACTGGATATCGTACCCAGTTAGACACGATAGCGTACTCGTATTGTGGATTACCAAATGGATCCTTTCCTTCGGGACCCAACTTGTATATCCAGACTAAAATTAAGCATACAGATTCAAATTCTGAATTTTGTGAATCACTCAATAGAACACGGACTTACAGGGCTGGGCATCACTGCTCTCACTAGTGTGCAATTGTAGCATGGCATCCTTGTTTCCACCACGGAATGCATAACCAATAGAATATCTGAAAATCATGTTCGAAATGTGGAAGTTTTGAAAATTTCGAAACTATCAAGCATAATTTTAAAAAATTAATAGTCAATAGGGTTGAAACTAGAACTAGCAATCACCTGACGGGTCCGAACTCAGATCCTTCCCTGTAGATCTTCAGAGCCGTGAAGGTTGCCGTCTTATCGTTCTTAGTTAGTCCTCCATCTGAAATAGGAGATTCAGATTGCTAATCG